ATTCAAATTGTTTGGAATGGACCTGGGGGACCAAACAGGGGCTAGCGAGGAAGTGCTGCCATTCTTTATCCCAAAGAATAAATTCTGACTGTCAGGTGTGATATGCAATTTGTTGGAAACTTTTTAATGATGTCATCTCCTGGGGGGGGCGTGTTCTTTAATTTTGGACAATTTTAATTTTAGTTTTCAACTGCTATAGTTCACCTAAGGATGGCAATCCATTCTCTTGACCTATATTTTTATAATAACCAGTGCCCAAAATTAGTGCAGCTCACTCACAGTTCTAATATTCATCACTGCCCTCTAGAGGTCACGATGAGAATATTGCCTTATGGCCATTGTCTCCCTTGAGAGTGGAGTTCTAAATTAAAGCTCCACTCTCAAGGGAGACAATGGCCATATCATTGATAATATTCTTCCCTAGACAGGCACTCATCAGCTGCATTAGGACTCCATTCACCAGAAAGTTTAGCAAGATCACTTTCAATTGTAGCCTTTGATCATGCTGACTGGCTTTGCAGACCGAGCTTCTCTGGAGGGGAAGCCTGCTTGGGGAAGACTGCAACACACTGTTTCTGGTAGGTATTTAGGAAAATCGAATCCATGGTCCAAACAGGTCCCAATATTCCCAGAGGGTTTGGTTTTTTTTTTTTTTCATCTTTATCAGGTTTTGACTGGGAGATGTTTGGGGAGAAAAAGAGTCTCTGATTGTTCTTGCAAGCCATTTATTTTCTGGGCCCCAGGGAGCTTGAAACCTCTCTAGGCAGGACTGATTTTGAGAGATGCTGGCCTTTAACATTTGAAAGAATCAGCTGGATCAACATTTTAAAATTCAAGGCAGCAACACTAATCAGGTAAAATCATCGTCACCATAATTATCCCAGCCTTAGAGCTGGACCCTCAGCGGTTGTCCTTCCCCTTGAAAAGCCTTTCCTGTGGCCTCTGAGATGCCAGGCTCAGCCTTTGCTTTTAAATATACATGTAAAAAATATATTTAATGTATGAGTTGCCTGGAACCCTTCAAACTAAAATATCAGCTTTAGTGGATTCACAGTTCATATATTGTATAGATAGTGATTTCAGTGTATTTGACAACCCTAGGGAAAAAAAACACACTCAGCTTTAAGGGTAGTGTATAAATTTTTAAATTAAAATAACTCTTTGGGACTTCATTTTCCAACAAAGAAAAAAAATGCACTGACTTTTGAAGAAAATGGAAGCTTAAGGGAAGGGTCATTTATCTAGAAAGGCTCTATTTGCATTAAAAAAACAAAACAAAATCTGACTACTGAATCTAATGGCCAATTTTTCTCCAGGGACAACTTCACCCTTCAGTGCATATGGCACTCTACTCTGCCTCCCCTGAGGTTTCTTCTGCGGTTCTTTAAAAGCAAAAAGACAGCTCTGATGTCACTCTGGATAAAAGCCCAACAAATTCTGTGTTTTCTTACCGGCTGAGAGAGTCTGCTGATAACAGAATCCTTGAAATAATTGCTACTACTGAGAAGGTTCTCCAGCTCAGTTGGAAAGTTACATGCACTGTTCCTTTAAAAGAAAGATTCACAGTCGTGGTGGCTGCCAGGGAAAGAAGCAATGCCAGAAAAACGGCTGGAAGCCTGTTTATTACTGTACATGGACTGGGTGACAAACTGAAGAGACGTAAGATGTACTCCTGCATGCTGGGCCTCCTTCCTCTCTGCAGAGGAGAAGGAGATCAAACAGATGGGAAAAGGAGAAGCATAAAGTTCTATTAGGCCAGTGTTTCCCAAACTTGACAATTTTAAGGCTGGCTGTGGAATTCTGGGAGTTGAAGTCCACATGCCTTAAAATTGTCAAGTTTGGGAAACACTGCATTAGGCAATGCTCTGCTTTACAGGGAAAGGTTGTGGCTCCAGTGAACTGGCCCACATAAGGGCTTAAGTGGAGGTACACAATGAGAGCTCTCAGCAGGTGGCAGCATCTAACTGACCTCGGCCAATTTTGGAAGCTGGGCAAGGTCAGCCTTGGACAGTACATAGATGGGGCCATCCTTGGAATCTCAGGGCTGTAGGCTGGATTGCACAGTTGAAAAAGCTTCCTCAAACACATAAATAACGTTTACTACAGTATTATCCTAACACAGAGACTGTCAGTTCTAGGTGTCCCTTAAGGCAGGGGTGTCAAACTCGCAATGTCACGTGACATGTCGCGATGTATGGCAACTTTTTTGCCATTGCCGGCAATGGGATGGGCGCGATTTCGCTATGATGCATCCGGCCCGCGGGCTGGCAGTTTGACACCCCTGCCTTAAGGCATAGAAGGGGTATTTAGTATATTTGCCACCATGGGCTACTTAGAAAGAAATAAAAGTGGGATGAAAAAATATAATAAAGCAAGAAAGAAAAATGGAGATAATACTGCTTTCTATTGCCAAGAAAACTGTGTGGATGCACTCATCAGGAACTGGGCTCAAATGGGTGGTGTCCTATATGAGTAATGCAAGAAGAAACCTTTACGCAGACTCAACTTCACTGTGATAATAAGCCAAATAAGAGAATTGACTATCTCCTAATGTAAAGAATCTTAACCTGCAATGCAAAAGAAAAAAAAATCACATCCACCAATTAGCCTTAACTGGATTAATATATTCAGATGCCAGGAAGCTAAGACCTCAATTTCCGTCATCTATTCACATCATCAGAACAATCTAGCCTGCCCTAGCTGCAATATATACATACATATATCTTATTTGATGGTGAGAATGTTCTTGAGGAAACTGGCTGTTTGAATAATCCAAACCTAGTGTTTTCTAAGTAAGTAAGTAAGTAAGTAAGTAAGTAAATAAATAAATAAATAAATAAATAAATAAATAAATAAATAAATAAATGTTTCTAGATAGTCAGACCTGGTTGTTTGAATAGTCCAAAGCCTATCTTTATTCTTTAAAATGCCTTTTAACTCTCTAAAGAGTACTTGCATCTGTCTCCAATGCAGAAGACAAATCTCAACTGGAGTCTTGTGGTTAGTTTGCGGTACTCTATTTTTAGAAAGATGCAAAGAAATAGGAATACAATTAGAGAGGAAAGTGAAGGCTGTCAGATTTATTGGAAACATGTCCCATGAGCAAAAATTAAAAGACCTGGATATATGTGAACCAGAGGCAGGATGGGCATAGTCTAACCATAAAAAAGAAATAATGGGTTTTTTTTTCTTCTGTTCTTTCTCAGCAGGCCTTCAAGTAGTGACTGTCCAGTCATTTGTTAGAGATGCTTTCGTTCTGAACGTTTTGCATCAAACAGTGAGTTGAACTAGATGACCTTTAAGATCCCCCCAATTCTATGATTCTATCTTTCCTCCCATAATTCTAGACACCAATCACATCCGAGAGCAATAAAACAGGAGAGCTACTATAGAGGCTGGTATTGACTCAGGCATATCAGTCCACATAAATTTTAAATCTCAGATCCTTACTCTATGCCATAAGACACAAAATTAAATGCAGAAGGCAAAGGAAAAGAAAGCGACAAATAGGACTATGTTCCTCCCACCCCCACCCCCACCCCATCCCAAAATCATATGCCCTGTCCCACAAAGGCCTGGCTTCCTTCCACTCAGGCTGGCTTTGCAAGAGAGAAATGCTGATGCTGGGAATATTCATCTGGTTTCCAAAAACAAGATTCCTAAGCAGTGAATGCAGAGTAAATCCCTGCTATCCCCATCTCTTCCTCAGAACCATGGGAGCCAGCAGTTGATAAAGCATCTCTTGCAAGAAGGAATCTGCTTTGCTTCAGCTCTCTTACTCCTGTGACCTGGACCACCATTTTGGGGTCTACAGCAGCGGTTCTCAACCTATGGGTCGTGACCCCATTTGGGGTCGATCAACCATTTCACGGGAGTTACCAAGCAAGGCTGTCCGCCATTTTTTGCCCTTTTCCGGTGGGTGCCTTACCTCCCTTGGGCTGGGCCAGCTGGTGGCCCAGCCGGTGGTCGGCCTGCTCCGCCTCTGCCGCTTGCCAGCTACGCCTCGGCCGGCGCAGGGGGCGGCACCACGCATGCGCGGCGCTCCCGGGCAGGGAAAGTCCTCGACTTACGACCGATTTAGTCCTCGACTTACGACCGATTTAGTCCTCAACTTATGACCGGTTGGGGGTCGCGGCATTAAAAAGGTTGAGCACCACTGGTCTACAGAGACACATCTCCTCATCTCAAAGTGGACAGGCCATTCAATCCAAGCACTGGCTCCTCCAGGGTTTTTGTCAATATTTAGAATATGTTATCCTGGGAGTATGCCTTCCAACTTCACCCTCAACATGCAAGACTTTATACCCTTTTCGTAGGACCTTCAGGATCTAAGAACTCTAATCAATACGTCCTGATATGGGACCTTTACTCCCCCAGAACTATGACGGGGAGATTTCCCCCTGGCTCTGAAATGGGGAAAGGGAGGGGAGGAGAGATGGAGAAGAACCGAGTGACCTTAAAATTCTTTTCCCGTTAATATTCCACGGTCCAAGTCTCTTCCCAGCACCTTGTTTCTCCCTCAGGTTTGCCAAAGGCAAAGGGAGTACCGCTCTGAACCCTACCCTGGGGAAATAGTGCCACCGCGTCCCCTGCTTTCAGCCTTCAGACGTGGAGTAACGCGAGCGAATATTTTGATGGGCAAAGCGGTGCCCACCCGGAATAAAAGTTACTCGGGAATTCTGGGAGTTACCGCTCAAACGTACCTAGAGTTTTCCAGGCAGGTCCCCGCGGTTAATGTTTGGTGAGGGGATATTTTGTCGCTGGGCAACTAACCCACGTGGGAAGCACTTCCCCCCCCCTCTCCTTCGCTCTCCAGATCTCCGGCAAACCCCAGCCGCGTCCGGCCCGGGAGAGAGAGGCTCTCTCCTCCTTCAGGCAAGAAACAGCTTGAAGCCGGCCAGCGCTGCGCTCCCGGCTCAGAGGTCGGCGCGGTTCGCTGGCTGGCAACAACACCATCCCGTTTTCAAAACTGGCCGAAGAGACAAGGAAGTAGAACCCACCTGATCCCGCCGCCCTGCCGGCCGCTCAGCGCCACTTCCGAATCCGAAGGGGAGCCGGTCAGCAGAGAAAGATCCCACCAAAACTCCTGGTGTTTTGTCTTTCCTCAGCCGGATTGGCGGGCTGGCCGGCTGCGGGGCTGAAGCGCGAAGGGCTTCCCTCCCTTCTGCCTCCCGCTTGCCTCAGCCTGCCTCTCTCCCAACCCTGAGCGCCGGCAAAAGCGAAAGGGGAGGAACTGGCTTAAGCGGCGGGTCCGAAGTAGCTGTCGCGCACGTCAAGCGCCGAAGAGTCCCCGGCTGGGTGGGGCTCCGTTCAGCGCCTGGAGGGAGCCAGCAGAGGCGTCGGGCAGGAGCGGAGCGCGGGGCCCTCGCCCGAGAGCGGAGCCCATCAACTCTTCCGAGGCCACCTTTCAGACTCAGCTGAACCCGAAGGACCCGTCCTCTGTACTGGCCAAGCCTCTGCGTGTGTTTTTCCGGGCATCTGGAGAGCGAGGAAGAGAGGGGAAAAGTGCTTCCCGCTTGTTGGTTTCCCAGCGACCAAATACTTTTCCCCCCTCCATCCTTCCTTTTCTTTATTTTCATCACTTTAGTTTTCTATCTGGTAGGTAAAGTGATGAAGATAAAGAGAGGAAGGGTGGGGGGCAGGGTGGGGGAAGAAGATTACTCCAATTTATGTGATTCTGTTGTTTTACCCAGGAATGGTTTCGAAGTAGTTGAAGTGATGCTGCGGGGCATCTGGTTCAAGGTTTCTCACACTTGGCAACGTTACGGTTTGTGGGGTCAACTCCCGGAATTCCCAGCTGGGAATTGAGATCCACGCATCTTAAAGTGTGCAAGTTTGAGAAATGCGGACCTAAGCTAAGTTCATTGAGCTCCTAGAGCAGCGTTTCTCAACCTCCACAATTTTAAGATGGAAAGAGTCTAAAGATTAAACGTACAGTCACCTCAGCCTTGAACTTTTCAGGACAGCGCTGTTCTCAAAGGCACATCCTCCAGATATGTGGATCCCCAATTCTCTCATCAATCCAGGTTAGCGGAGCTGGGTATGGAAAGAATAAATCGGCTAGTGAATACCTGGCAGGGAAGACTGGCTGAATGTAGTTGCCGAATGGCTACTTTGAAGGTGATGTCACAGGTGATGTTGCAATATGTCCTGGTCCTCTTCCCACCAGGAATACTGAGCTCTGAAAGTTAGCTTGAAGAAAGGAGGGTGAGGGAAGGACAGCCGCAACCAAGACAACGATCAGCAACTTGAGTCCAAAGCGGAAATGTAATTTGAGAAAGCATCACAGGCTTGACTTTCTCTAGTTCTCATGAAGATAAAGAGAGGGAAGGTAGGGGAACATTCTGACTTGTGAGATTCTGTCACTATAACATATTATAAAAGAAGTATTAGTGTTCATCACTTTGGGTTTCTAGTCTGGTTTACCTTAAGATAGGGGTCCCCAATCCCCGACCAGTACTAGGCTGCGGCGTGCCAGCAACTGGTCTGCACAAATAAACAAAGCCCCATCCGTGAGATGCAGGCAGCAAACAAAACCACACACCCTCTGGTCTGTGAAAAACCTTTCTCCACGGAACCGGCCCAAAAGGTTGGGGACCTCTGCCTTAAGGGCTTGACAACTGGAGAGGACAGGCCATTTAGATTAAATAGATTCTGTAAGATGGCCTTGGAAGAGGGCACGGGCTTATGTGTGCATGCAGATTCTTACTCTGACATTCTTCTGTTCTTTGGGAAATCACAGTAATGCATAAGCCTCAAATGCCCAACTTTTTTGAAGAGGGAAACAGAGTTGTTAGCAGTGAAATGATGTTCTCTGCCATGCCTGGCATCATACTTAAGCTCCACTTGCGATGTGGCTCAGGCGGATAACTTAGATAGATGCCCACCTATTTTTACATGACATTCTCTGTAAATGCAGCCCTCTTCCTTTCTTATATTTGTGGTCCTCCTCCCCATGGCTGGCAGCTGGCCAAGAAGATGATGCACCCACCCAAGCAATATGACTCGCAGAAGGGCCTCCTTTTGCTCAGAGCTCTACGACCCTAGCATTTGCGATTTCCATTGTCCATTCTTGGGACTCCTTTGTGAGTGCAGTGGGGGTGGAACAAATGCTGGGGCCCTTCTGACCTTGCATTCAGCTAACAGAGGCTCAGTCTTTGGCATAGGGTGCTGAGAAAGTTCATGGCTGCTTACTGTAAAGCATTCTCTCTTCCTCCCACTCTCCCACGAGCGGGGTCTTTCTTCCCCCACCCGCACCCCACGCCAGCATCCTGCAGAACAGGTTACTGGCTGGTGCTCCCCTGCAGGGCTTATAACTTTCCTTTGCTTAGTTATCAGAGTACAATTGCCTAATTTATTGTGCTTTACAAGACAAGGCTTTTCTGACTGCTGGGAAATCAACGGGCCATATGGGCTCCTGTGTTCATCATGGGAGAAGAGAGAGCGTTCTGAGAGAATATCCCCAACACATCTGTATATATGTATTGTTCTATTTTTTCAGAGTCTTTCTGGGGGGGGGAGGTAAAACCCCTACCCTGTTCTCAAAGATGAATGTGGATTGAAAAAGAGATGTTTGCAACCTGCTTTCACACCCTTCTTAAAAAGTCTAGACTGAAAAACTTATCAGACTAGAGGTGAAGGAGTTAAATTGTATTCTTTCAAATCAGTTTCAGTTCTTTAATATCAGTTCATCTAATAACATCTTCTCATGTGGTAGCTTTGTTAATTTGCCACAGCAAAACTAATAAAGAATCTTTTGTAACAGTAAATTTCTGTCTTTTAAGAATGTGTTCTTTGGTTTAAACCAAATATGGTTTTCTCCACCTCTGTGTGTAGCCTCTCTGCTACTGCCTTCAGCTTAGAATACATCCTAATTTTAGGGAGCTGGAATAATATAGTGATTAGTGCTGAAACAAGATTGAGAATATTTGTGTTTTCAAGTCATGCTTCAGCTGTCACCTGTTAGGTCTACATCACAAAAAGGTCTTGTGGTGAGGAGAATAGAAGAATATATGCTGCTCTGAGGTTTTTTGAGGAAGGGGAGATGAATAAACAATCCTAATTAGAAGATAACAATGTGTCCTGCATTTTTTAATGTCACTTTCTCAGTTGAGTGGTACAAACTGCTTTGAGATTAGCCCTATTAGGATTACTGGTTTGGTCATTTCCTTAAAGTTTTATCCATTCTCTCTATGGTTACTGGAATCTTGAAGTAATTGCAGATCTGGCAATATCAGGCATTAAAGGTGAGACTTGGAAAGCAAATCCATTGTACAATCATATGTGTGTTTGCATATGTTAATCTTGCTCATGGGAGGCCCTGCTAAGATTCAAAAGAACAAGTCAATATTGCCACCATCTTTGATTCATATCAAGCCTTATTGTGACCCCTAAAATCTCATGATAACATTTTTATTTTGTTCCCAGCCTGCCGAAGTGGTGGCAATACGTTCAACTTCAGCAGTTCCAGTTTAGATGCTGCCTTTTTCCTTTCCTCCTGAGACACATCTTGCTATACGAATGACATGACATTGTTCAAGTCAAAGTTCACCCCTTTTGGCTTCCACGGGCCAGCTTCCTTCTCTCTGGTCTCTCAGCCCTGCCATCTGTGAACATTTTGAGCCAGGTGCAGGTAGATGAGACACCTGGTTTCCATGGAAGCAGAAGGGAAGAAGCAGAAGGGTTTCTTTGGAAACCAGTAAGGAAACCCACTAAGCTCAGTTTACTCCCAAATGAGCAAATGTAGGATTGCATCAGGGTTCACGGGGTAAGGAAACAATGAATGGAAACTGATCAAGGCAAGAAGGAATTAAGAAGAAACTTTCTAAAAAGGAGAACAATTAACCAGTGGAGCAGCTTGCCTCCAGAAGTTGTGGGTGCTTCATCATTGGAGATTTCTAAGGAGAGACTGGACAGCCGCTTGTCTGAAATGCAACAGGGTCTCCTGCTTGAGCAGGGGATTGGACTACTAGAAGACCTCCAAGGTTTCTTCCAGCTCTGTTCTGACTAGGACATTGTGCCTGGCCAGATTGCCACCCTGCAGCCAGAGACAGGATTGAACTCTGGTGCCTGTCTTCTATGGGATGCAAATTGCTCTCTCCCAAGCAAGCAGTCATTGTGGATGGCACTGTTCAAAAAGTGCTCTTGCTCTTGTGTGGTCCTGCAGCACGGAGCTTGTTTCTATTGCTGATGTCCATCCCCCGTGGATTTCAGTGAGGTTTCCTTCAAGTATTTGTTATAGAATCTGGGAAGGGGAGGGGAAAATCCAACTCTCTCTACCCATAAACACACAGAACATACAGAAAGTCAAGATTCAGATTAGTATGTGCTGCATGAGTTCTTTCTGGACCTGGGTTTGGTGCTGTTGCAGGAGAATGGATATGGTAGAGCCGGTATGGGTCGCTCTTAACTCACATCTCAGTCGGGACCAGATTTTCCATTGCTGAGCAAGTTGGTTGTTAATTGGGTTGTCCCTGGTTTTACAACCTTTTTGCCACTGTTAAGCAAAACATTGCAGTTGTTAAGAGAAGTACATGGTCATTTAGTGAATTCTGTTCCCCACACTGATCTTGCTGGTTGGAAGCCAGCTGGGAAGGTCACAAATGTCCATCAAATGATCCAGAAAGCTGTAATAAATACATCCTGGTTGCCCTGGTTTTGGATAATGTGACTGTGGGGACATTGCAATGGTCTTAAGTGCAAGGACAGGTCATAAGTCCCTTCCTTTCAACCCTGTTGTAACTTTGAACAGTCACTGAATGAATGGTTGTAAGTCAGGGACTACCTGTAGCCGGGTTCCTTTTGAAGTTTACGTCCAAAACAGGGGCAAGGTTGATAAGCCTGGCACTCCCTAAAATCTTGCCACTTTCTAATCCCTCCCCCAGCCCCAGCCCATCCTATATTCAGGAGAGAGCTGTTGGTGGGTATTTTTCCTTTCAGCTGATGAAGTTTGGTGGAAGGGAAAATAAAGCTAAGGGAAGCCACAAATCAACCTCCAACCTGTACAAGTGGCACTGGTCTCTGGCCTCATTACTCAGCAGCGAGAGGCAGCACAAAGTGTGCCAGCAGGGGCTGGGAGCCCTTTAAAGCAATTGCAAAGATGCCTACAAAAGGAGTTTCTTCAGTGAGCTTTCCTAGGTCTTACATGACCATCCCTTCTCCTCTTCCTCAAGTACCCCTCTTCTTCCAGTCATGGAACACGATGGCTCTGCAATATTGTTTCTATTTAATTAATATGCAAATACTTCTGAATCTGAGTATGTTTGCATGTAGATACAGATACAGATATATCAAGAATGTCATTGGCTCTGTGTGTGTACACATTGCAGAATTTGGTTCAAAAAATCAGATTAATAACCCAGAACTGAAGTAGTGACTGAATTCACAAATCAGACTAAGCCATCATCCAGCCCTCATTAACTGAAACCATCATCATTTGCTGGGTTTTCATACCATGCTAAGCATGTTTTCTGTAACAATGGCTGGATCATTCAAAATGTTAAAACAAAATCCTGTGATGGCTTAGTGGGTTACAT